ATGGTATTAGGGTCTTGAAAAAGTTAAAATGGAGAGGTAAGGGTTTTCTTTCTAAACTGCTCATCTTTTTGTACCTCATTCTTCTAGAAACTTTACCGTGGACCCTCTACTTCACCCTGAAGGGCAGACTCAAGGGGACAAGGATTCAAGCCCAGGCTTTCTTCTCTACCCCACCCTGGTGATCCAGGAAAAGCTCTTATCAATGTTATCTCTCCATACTCTTAATTTACAGTATACAGCAGAGAACAGGAAACATGTCCATATTGTGTGTGCTATGTGGTAGTCTTGCAAACAATGCAACATTTTTTACTGACTCAATCCTAGCTCTTTCCAAGCTAGAGTTTTAAAATCCTTGAGGTCTTGCAGTCACTGTTAAAATGCCTCTAAGCTATCTCTTCGGCTCCCATGGGAGACTTTAGATCTTGGAAGAGCCCAAAATTAACCCAATTTCTGCCTTTAAATAAAGCTCATTTTAAGTCATTTATTAAGTCTAATTTTTTTTAAGAGAAACTCATTTTTTTGTAACAGGGAAAACATGGAAAAGAATGTGAAAAATCTACATTTAGTTTAGATGTCGTACATCTGACTAAATTAGGAAGAAAAAGTAAACACAGCAGAAAACATTTTGCTTAATAATAATAATGATATTCTCTTCTGAGAATTTCCCAGGCAGGTAAGTCTGTGAAACTCTCATCTCCACTTAACCACAACAACAAGAAAAAAAGCCAAAAGTGGAGATGTGGCTCTAATGGCAGAGCCCTAGTCTTGAGCAAAAAAGTTCAAGGAGTGCCCAGGTCCTGAGTTCAAGCCTGAGGACAGGTACAAAAGTAAAATTTTTAAAAAAAAAGGAGGGCTGGGAAGGTGGCTCAGTGGTAGAGCGCTTGCCTTGCATGCCTGAGGCCCTGGGTTCGATTCCTCAGCACCACATAAGCAAAAAGAAAAAAGCTGGAAGTGGCACTGTGGCTCAAGTGGTAGAGCGCTAGCCTTGAGCTGAAGAGCTGAGGGACAGCGCCCAGGCCCAGAGTTCAGGCCCCACTACCGGACCCAAAAAAAAATAAAAAAAGGAAACTCTTCGAATTATAAAAACACAAAGACCAAAAAAAAAAAAAAAAATGCGAAACTGGGAGGCATAGGAAGGGAAGTAGTTTAAGTAGACTAATCTTCCTCTACAACATAAAGAGTTGATGTCCATGTCTAAAACTGGAGGAAAAAAACCCTAACTAGAAATATTGAAGCAAACACCAGTGGGGTGTGAAATAATTTTAAATTATTTCCAAGGGCTGGGAAGGTGGCTTAGCAGTAGAATGCTTGCCTAGCATGCATGAAGCCCCAGGTTCAATTCCTCAGTAGCACATACACAGAAAAAGCCAGAAGTGGTGCTGTGGCTCAAGTAGTACTCTCCTTGAGCAAAAGAAGCTTAGGGCCTGAGTTCAAGCCCTAAGGATTAGAGGGAGAGAGACCACCACTAGGTGTATAAACTTTTCTTTATCCACTGACTTTTTAAAAAATTTTTTATTGTAAAGATACTATACAGAGGGTTAAAGTCACATGAGCAAGGTAATGAGTACACTTCCCATTGAGCATTGTTTACCCCCTCCATTGTTTTCCCCCTACTCTACTGACTTTTTACTACTATGTTCAATTTTAATCCTAGCCAGGCACCGCTGGCTCACACCTGTAATCCTACTCAGGAGGCTGAGATCTGAGGATTGCAGTTCAAAGCCAGCTGGGGCAGGATAGTCCATGAGACTCTTACCTCCAATTCACCACTAGAAAACCAGAAGTGATACTGTGGCTCAAGTGGTAGAGTGCTGGCCTTGAGCTGAAGAACTGAGGGACAGGGCCAGGCCCAGAGTTCAAGCCCTAACACCCCCAAAAACTTTCTTAATCCTTTCCAGGCACCAGTGGTTTATACCTGTAGTCCTAGCTACTCCGAAGGGCTGAGATCTGAGGATCCGGTTCAAAGCCAGGCTGGGCAAGCAAGTCCAGGAGACTCTTATTTCCAATTTACACCCAAAAAGCCAAAAGTACAGCTCTGGCTCAAGGGGTAGAATGGTAGCTTTGAGCAAAAATAACCTCATGCATATTGCCCAGATCCTGAATTAAAGCCCCAGCACAAAGTAAATTTTAATGCTTATTTTTTTTAATAGAAATGCTTAAATATAATTCACTTGGACACTGAGCACCGACTGTGTGCTAGGGTGCTTGGCTTAGAGGAATACTGTCAAATTCAGAGGTCACCTAACATAACTCTCATTAACTCCACAGGGAAACCAACTTGTTCTAAAATTAATATTTTATATGTTCTTCCTAGAGTATTTAAAACTTTTTGAGTGTTAACAAACTGAGGCCCCTGGCTTTATTTTGCAAATGGATTAAGCTCTTTTACAACAATTTTCTAATATTGTCAGTGCACTGGGGCCATGAGGAAAAAAAAATGTCTGATAAGTTGATAACTTAAAATCAGCTGAATAGAATAACGTGAGGATGCCTCAACATTGACCAAAATGAGACAAAATTTTCTGTATACACAGCTGGGTGCCGGTGGCATATGCCTGTAATACTGGCTACTCAGGAGGCTGAGATCTGAGGATCATGGTTCAAAGCCAACCCAGGCAGAAAAGTCCGTGAGACTCTTATCTCCAATTACCCACCAGAAAACCGGAAGTGGTGGTGTGGTTCAAGTGGTAGAGTGCAGCTTTGAGCTGAACAGCTGAGGGACAGTGCCCAGGCCCAGACTTCAAGCCCCATGACCAACAACAAAAAATTCTGTACACCACTGAAATCATCTTCAGCATCTACTTCCCAATGCCACGTGTCAGCTATCACCAATCACCAATCTCTTTCTCTTTTTTCTATTTTGTTGTTTCTCTGGAAACCTCAATTCTTCAGGAAAAAGAACCAATCAAATAGCAATGCACTGCCTGGGGGCAGTATTTCTGTAGGAAGAACTCTTTTCATACAGATTTTTTTAAATGCAAAAGTTAAAAAAGCCAAGGCATTAGTTTGTGAGACATGACTTGTGGTTTAATTTTGCTACTTCTAGCTTTTTTCTTTTTTGCTGGTCTGGGTGCTGTCCCTGGGCTTCTTTATGTTCTCAAGGCTAGTTAGTGCTGCACCACTTCTGGCTTTTTCTGAGTAGTTTATGGAAGTCTCACAGACTTTATTGCCCAGGCTGGCTTCCAACTGCAATCCTCAGATCTCAGCCTCCTGAGTTGTTAGGATTACAGGGGTGAGCCACTAGGCCCTTGTCATCTTGTTTTCAGGGACCTAAACATGGGTTTCCAAACTAATGCCTGGAAAAAAATCATTTCCAAAACCTTATCACTTAAAGCTAGATACTCAGAGTTAGGATACTTCTGCTCTAGTCTGGATAAGACGTAGGTTTTGTGGAAGTCTGTAGAAGGACCACAGGCTATCGGCCTGGGGTGAGGACACAGCGATGATCTCTCTTCAATGTAGGCTGCCAGTCTGTCATTTCCTGAAAGTCCCGTTGACCAGAACTCGACTCTTGACTGCTGAGAGCCCCACCTGTGGGTTCTGGGTGAGAACCAAACCACAGCACCCATGGCGGCTTCAATGCCGCCGCCGCAGCTAATTCTCGCCTTCCCTCTTTAGTATCCTATTTCAGAGGGAGGGAACCGCAGTAACTAACCCGTAGGCATAGTTTTTAGTTTTACTGGTAGCGGGGACACAGGCCGAGCGCGGGGGCCCGCCCTGCACCCGTCCCGAAACCGGCGCTGTGCGGCCCGGCGGTCGCTGGGCTGATTTCTGAGAACTACAGCAGCCAGCGCCAAACCGAGGACCGCACCGCGCGGCCTGGGGGGAAGGGGGGAGAGGAGACCAGCCCCCGGAGGGGGGGTGGGGAGGGGGAGGACCGCGCCCCCGGAGGGGGGTGGGGAGGGGAAGGACCGCGCCCCCGGAGGGGGGTGGGGAGGGGGAGGACCGCGTTCCCGGAGGGGGGGTGGGGAGGGGGAGGACCGCGTTCCCGGAGCGGCGGGGGGGGGGGGGGGGGGAGGACCGCGTTCCCGGAGCGGCGGGGGGGGGGGGGGAGGACCGCGTTCCCGGAGGGGGGTGGGGGGGGAGGACCGCGTTCCCGGAGGGGGGGTGGGGAGGGGGAGGACCGCGTTCCCGGAGCGGCGGGGGGGGGGGAGGACCGCGTTCCCGGAGCGGCGGGGGGGGGGGGAGGACCGCGCCCCCGGAGCGGCGGGGGGGGGAGGACCGCGCCCCCGGAGCGGGGGGGGGGGGGGAGGACCGCGCCCCTGGAGCGGGGGGGGGGGGGAGGACCGCGCCCCCGGAGCGGCGGGGGGGGGGGGGGAGGACCGCGCCCACCGACCAGCCCGCCCGCCTCGCTGCCTGCCCGCACGGCGTCTGGGCGCCGGCCGCTCCGCAGCAGCCCAGGCGGGGCTTGGGACCGTCCCCCAGGGCGGCCCGGGCCGGTGACCTTCAGAAGGACGCTAGTCTTCCGGCCCCAACCAGACCGGGGAGTCAGCGTGCGCTCGGCCACGACCCGCGAGGAGCCGTGCGCCCTGGGCCCACGGTCCTACGGCGCCGACTCACCGCCCCGGCCAACGACAGGCGCCGCGCGCGAAGCACCCGCGACAGGGCCCCTAACCCCGCCATGTCTGCGCCGTCCCGCCAGCCCCTACGCCCGACCACGCCTGCGCACTGCGCCGCACCGGGTCACGTGGAGAAAGCTGAGCCTGCGTACTGCGCTGTGCGTGTGGCGGAGGGGGGGGGGGAGGGAGGGAGGGCGAGGAGGAGGGGGGTAGGAGGTGGAGGGATGACGTCACGCCCGCGCACTACGCCACACCCTTCAACCCTTCACTTAGTGAAAGCTGGGCCAGTGAACCACAGGGCGGGGGGGGGGGGGGGGGGGGGGGGGGGGGGGTCGTCACGCCTGCGCGCTGTGCAGCGCCGGTCACACGGGGAAGGCTGAGACCGCGTACTGCGCAGCGGCCACGCCCGAGGGGTGATGTGACGCCTGCGCGTTAGGCCGCACCCAGCTTGTGGATTACGTTCCCGCGGACGAATGACCGAGGTCGCGCCTGCGCACCACGCCGGCCGGGGTCGGAGGTGCACGCTGCGTCCGTGCTGGCCACCCGGTCAGGGTTCCCGCGTCTGCGCGCTCGGTCGCGTCCGCCGAGGGTGGCGGGGCAGCTGACGCGGCGCTTGGGCGGAGAGTCCCCGCGTCCATCGGAGCCGGCTCTGCCGAGGCTCTCTGAGGTAGGTCGCGGCGGCTGGAGGCCGTGGGCGGGCCGGCTCCGAGCGGGAGACGGGCAGCCGTGTCTGCACGCCGGTGTGGTTCCCCGAGCCCTGCGGACGGGCGGTGTCGCGGACCCCGGCCGAGGGCCGCAGGGCCGCAGGGCCGCAGGGCCGGGAGGGCCGCAGTGCCAGGGAGGGCTGGGGAGGGCGTGGCCGCGGGGCCGGGGAGGGCGGAGCCGGGAGGGCTGGGGAGGGCGGGGCCGCAGTGCCGGGGAGGGCTGGGGAGGGCTGGGGAGGGCGGTGCCCCAGTGCCAGGGAGGGTTGGGAAGGGCAGGGCCGCAGGGCGGGGGAGGGCGGGGCCGCAGTGCCGGGGAGGGCGGGGCCGCAGTGCCGGGGAGGGCGGGGCCGCAGTGCCGGGGAGGGCTGGGGAGGGCAGTGCCTGGGAGGGCTGGGGAGGGCGGGGCCGCAGTGCCAGGGAGGGTTGGGAAGGGCAGGGCCGCAGGGCGGGGGAGGGCGGGGCCGCAGTGCCGGGGAGGGCGGGGCCGCAGGGCGGGGGAGGGCTGGGGAGGGCAGTGCCGGGGAGGGCGGGGGAGGGCGGGGCCGCAGAGCCGGGGAGGGCTGGGGAGGGCAGTGCCGGGGAGGGCGGGGCCGCAGGGCGGGGGAGGGCTGGGGAGGGCAGTGCCGGGGAGGGCGGGGGAGGGCGGGGCCGCAGTGCCGGGGAGGGCTGGGGAGGGCGGGGCCGCAGTGCCAGGGAGGGTTGGGAAGGGCAGGGCCGCAGGGCGGGGGAGGGCGGGGCCGCAGGGCGGGGGAGGGCTGGGGAGGGCAGTGCCGGGGAGGGCGGGGGAGGGCGGGGCCGCAGAGCCGGGGAGGGCTGGGGAGGGCAGTGCCGGGGAGGGCGGGGGAGGGCGTGGCCGCGGGGCCGGGGAGGGCGTGGCCGGGGAGGGCGGGGCCGGGAGGGCGGGGCTGCGGGGCCGGGAGGGCTGCGGGGCCGCAGGGCCCGGGAGGGGGGGGCCGCGGGGCCGGGAGGGCGGGGCGGGCCGCGGGGCCGGGAGGGCGGGGGGGGGGGGGCCGCGAGGCCGGGGAGGGCGGGAGGGCGGGGAGGGGGGGGTGCAGGGCCTGGGAGGGCGGGGCCGCAGGGCCGGGGAGGGCGGGGGGGGGGGGTGCAGGGCCTGGGAGGGCGGGGCCGCAGGGCCGGGGAGGGCGGGGGGGGGGGGGGGGAAGGGGTGCAGGGCCGGGAGGGCCGCGCCGCGGCCTCGCGTGCGCCCCGGGTCCCGCTCCGCTCCGGCCGCGGGCGGCGGGAGCTCTGACCCTGGCGGGACGCGTGGGCTGCGTGGTCCGGCCCCCGCCCGGCTCTGTTTTCCCCGTGGATGATCAGGTCCCCGCCTTCTGCCCCGGAAGCACACCGCACTGGGCCAGGCCAGTGCGGTCAGCCGGCCCTTGGGGGCTTCAGCCGCCTTCGGGCCAGAAGCCCTTGGCAAGGCCAACCGCCGGGGCTCTGGCCTGCAGGCCGTTCAGGTCTGAGCCAGGCTTGCGGGACAATCCCAGAGACCCTTGGCTCCACTTAACAAGCAGTGAACTCAACCAGGCAGCAAAATGGCCAGGTATGCGCTGGGAGCAAGACTGAGATCTGAAGATTGAGGTTGGAAGCCCGCCCGGCAGACTCTAACATCCAATAAAGTACAGTGGAGTGGTGGCTCAGAGCACTTGAGAGAAAAAGAATCCTAGAGACAGTGCCCAGGTTGGCAAAAAAAAAGGTCTGCATTCAAGCCCTAGCACCACCAAAGGGAGAAGGCAATACCCAATACAGCGTAAATGCTCTTAAATACTGTTAAAGGAAGAGCGACAAGGAAAAATGTCTGTGTATCCTTAGTATGCACTCTTTATTTTCCGATGCCAGTACCAGGGCTTGGTTTTTCTCATCCAATTACTGAACAAGCCCATCCGTGCTCAGCTTCTAACGCCAGGCACCTTCAGGGTGGTATGTAGCTATGGAGGAGCCATGGCAATTACTTGTGATCAGTGTATTTACAGCGTCTACATATAAGCAAAACATTTAGTATTCTGCCTGTTAGGATACTGTTCATTCATCAAAACCCAACTCATAGGATGCCGTATATCTAGTGTGAATTTACTTTTTAAAGTTTTACTGTCTTTATATATAGTTGTATTAGGGTCATCCAGAGACAACTAATGAGAAACATATACAGATGACCATGTGTCACCTAAGGGGGACACTTTCTGAGAAATAAATGCTGTGTGTGTTACACAAATTCAGCAAGCTATGACATTTTTAGGCAATATGATATGAAACCACCATCCTATACATATTCCATCATTAACCATGTTATTAGTGCCTGTCCCTCTGTCTGCATTTATCCTTTCCTTTCCCCTTCCCTCTACCAGCCTCCACTTCTCTCCATCTCCTCTCACATGTGTGGGTATATGGAATAAGGATTCAAATGAAAATCTCATCCAGAAGTACCTCTCAAGACATTCCTAAAATGACTATCCAAGTATCTGGGCATACCTTTCCTCAGGTTGACATATAAGATTATTCCTTATATCTGCCAGACATCTGTTTTATACACTAGAGAACTCATATCCTAGCCATGCTTCATTTATTTGAAACGTGTCTTTTTCACTAGGTTGTAAGTTATTTTTCCTTCTTGAAATCCCATAGGGAATGCAAGGTTATACAGTGCATACAATTAAAAAAGAAAGTTCTTGAATTAAACTGTGCGTCTGATCATGCAATATAATATTTATTGAAATGAATTCCAGGAAATGAGAACGAATTTTTTGTTTTTTGGTTTGTTTTTTTTGCTGTTTTTGTTTTCTTGCCTTTTTGTTCTGTTAGGTCTTTGGGTATGTACGGGAAAGCACAAAAATAGAGGGGCAAAAGGTGAACAAATGCAGCAGTGTTACTCACTAGACACTGTTGAGTGGAAGGGCAAAACTGGGAGAGAGTAAGGGAAGAGGTGACATGTCTAAAAAGAAATGTACTCTTTACCTGACTTGTGCAACTAACCTTTATAATAACGATAAAAAAAAATTTTAAGGCCAGTCACCATAGGCTTACACTTATAATCCCAGCTACTCAGGATGCTGCATAGCTAGGTCTGAAGCCATCCTAGGCAGGTATGTCTCTGAGACTTTTATCTACAATTAGCCACCAAGAAGCCGGACGTACAGCTGTGGCTAGTCTTGAGCACAGAAGCTCAGGGACAGCAGCCAGCCCCCCTGAATTCAACCCATGTCTAGCACAAAAAATTTATTTTAAAGTAGGAACCTTGTAGATGATATAGTCATGAAGCTGTATTTTATTCCATTTATACAGTTAATATATTTTCCTTTAAGGTATATCTCCATGAATAACTTAAATGATCCCCCAAATTGGAACATCCGGCCTAATTCCAGAGCTGATGGAGGTGATGGGAACAGGTGGAATTATGCCCTGTTGGTACCAATGCTGGGATTAGCAGCATTTCGTAAGTCATGCTTCTGCTATTTCTGTTTTCCAGGCCAAAAGTATGGGCCACTGCAGGTTAAGTAAGGTTGGGGCATAGACAGGTTCATGAAGACTATGGTTTTGGAACCTGACAGCCAGTTTCATCCCACACAGGGACTCTTGAGCAAGATACTCAACTTTTCTGATCCTCAGTTTGCTCATCCTTGAGAGGTGGATAACCCTATTCACCTCAAAACATTGTAGGGGTTAACTAAGGCAAACATAGTTAAGAACATTTTATATGAGATTAAGCATTTGATACCCTGTAGCTCCCTGTTTTGAGTAGGTTCTCAAAACCAATAAGGAAGAGCAGGTGGGAGGGGGTTCAATTACAGGGTGACTATGGGAAGTCGGTCTTCAGGAGACTTTACCCATGAACACTTCACTCAGCTGGGACAGGGGAACTCTTGGTGAGCTGACTTGGTGCAATTAGCATTCTCACAGTCCTTCAACATCTCAGCCATTGACTTGTGAGTAGTTCCAGTTGAGGACTCTATCTATGAAGCAGCTACCAAATTCTTACACAAATTTTTGTGTAGACTTTAGTTTTTATTTCTCTGAGTTACTAGTTTTAAGTGTCAAAATGTTTTCTCAATGGTTGTACTATTCAGTTTATGTTCTTAGCAGATGATCCAATTTCCTCTAATTTTTGCCAACATTTGGTGATGTTATTTAGGTTATTATTAGAGTCTTTGGACATTTTCTAATTGTATTGGATTTTTCTGTGCCAGGCCTGGAGCTTCTTTTTTTTTTTTTTTTTTTTTTTTTTGGGTCCGGTCGTGGGGCCTGAACTCTGGGCCTGGGCGCTGTCCCTCAGCTCTTCAGCTCAAGGCTAGCGCTCTACCACTTGAGCCATAGCGCCACTTCTGGCTTTTTTTCTTTTTGCTTATGTGGTGCTGAGGAATCGAACCCAGGGCCTCATGCATGCAAAGCAAGCGCTCTACCACTGAGCCACCTTCCCAGTCCTAGGCCTGGAGCTTCTTGTGTGATTTCTTGAGCTCTTTTGCTCAAAGTTAACTCTTTACCACTTGAGTCACAGCACCACTTCCAGCTTTTTCTGTGTATGTGGTACTGAGGAATTGAACCCAGGGCTTTATACATGCTAGGCAAGCATTGTACCACTAAGCCACATTCCCATTCCCTAATTCTGACTTTTTTTTTTCCCATCATGAGGCTTGAACTCTGGGTTAGGGCACTATCCCTGAGCTCTTCAGCTCGACGAGTGCTCTACCACTTGAGCCACAGTGCCATTTCCAATTTTCTGGCAGTTAATTGGAGATTCAAGTCTCATGGACTTTCCTGACCTGATTGGCTTTGAACCACAGTCCTCAGATCTCAGCTTCTCCTGAGTGGCTAAGATTACACACATGAGCCACCAATGCTGGGCTAAGTATTCTAGATTCTAGTCCTTAGTTGGAGATAAGCTTTGCATGTGTCTAAACCTTTCTCATTTTAATTCTCATGGTTTTCTTTTTATAGCTTATTGTGATATATCTCAGATCACTTTACCTACTTCAAGTTCTGAAGATTTCTTTAGTGTTTCAGTTTTGCATTTTACATTTTATCCATTTTGAGTTAATTCTGTATAAGGTATGGGAGTTCAGTTTTATTTCCTCCATGTAATGTTTACCTTTTATTTTCTTGTCTTGCTGTGTGGATGTGCTAGCTGGAGCACCCAGGACTCTGTTGAGTAGTCTTTGATCTTACAGGGAAAGACCTTCTCCCCTATTAGGTGTGGTATTAGGTTTTTTGAGGTTTGGGTTTTTTTTTTTTTTCCCACCTCCAGTCCTGGAACTTGAACTCACGGCCTGGGCACTATTCCTTAGCTCTTTTTTTTTTTTTTTTTTTTGGTGAAAATACCATACAGAGGGGTCACAATTACATGGGCAAGCATTTGTTTCCCTTTCCCATCCCTTCCCATCTCTCCGCCCCCCAAAGTTGTAAAGTTCGTTTTTCAACATAACGTCTTGTACATCTCATTGTTGCTTAGCTTTTCTTTCATCAAGACTACAACTCTATCACCTGAGCCACAGCGCCACTTCTGGCTTTTTCTCTTTATGTGGTTCTAAGAAATTGAACCCAGGGCTTCATGCGTGCTAGGCAAGCACTCTACCACAAAGCCACCTTCCTAGCCCCTGAGGCTCCTTCTCTTGCTCAGCTTTTTCTGTTTCTGGCTGGCTCTCTACCACCTGGCTTCTGGATTTCCTGCTGGTTATTTGGAGATGATGTCTCCAGAGATTTTCTGCTCAAGCTAGCTCTGAACTTTGGTTCTCAGATCCCCACATCCTGAGTAACTAAGCTTATAGGCATAAGACACTTGTGTTTCAGTTTCTATGTTTTTCATTTCTAAAGTTTCCATTTAGTTCTTTATATCTGCTATTGCTTTGCTTAAACTTTACCATGATTACTGCTTAAAACTCTTTGGTAGACATTACTAGTATCTTTCATACAGGTATTAGCATCTGTTAATATCTTTTTAACTTGGCTTTAGCTCTTTCTGGTCCTTGATATGAAGAACAGTTTTCCTTTGGAACCTGGGCAGTTTCAATATGTCATCCTCCTGCCTCAATATCTGGAGTGCTGGGATTATAGGTATGCATCACCACACATAGGCTGAGATTGAAATTCTTTACCATTTATAGAACAGAAATACCTTGACTTAAGCTGTCTGCTGGTGATGGCTAGCTAAAGCCAAGCATACTCCTGACAACACTTGAGGTCAATGGTAGGTTTAGAGGAAAAGAAACTGGTAAATTTTCTTAAGAACTATGGAAGTTTGGTGACAGAAAAAGGATGATGCAGGCTTGGGTTCCCAGCCTTGGTCCAATTTTAGGTGCAAACCTTCCCTTTTTTGCAGTTTTGTGTAAATGTTATTTTCTTGGTATTGCAGAGGTCTTTTATCAAAATGCCGTCCTTTTTGTATCATACTTTAAGTACAGACCATAGCTGTGATTTTTCTTGATGTGTGTTTTTCTGTGATTGATTTGTGTCAGGTTGGATTTGGTCTAGGGAGTCCCAGAAAGAAATAGAGAAAGAAAGAGAAGCCTATCTTCAGAGAACAGCTGCTTTCCAACAGGACCTTGAAGCCAGGTACCATGCTGTCATCTCAGAACACCGACGAGCTGTTGCTCAGCTGTCTTTGGAACTTGAAAAGGAGCAAAAAAGGACAACTAGTTATCGAGAAGCCCTCATCTCTCAGGGGCGCAAGTTGGTGGAAGAAAGGAAGCTTCTAGAACAGGAACGGGCACAAATAATGCAAGAAAAAAGTCAGTTGAAGCCTCTAAGAAATGTGTATCTGAACTGTCTGGAAGAGGAGCAGGACTGGCAAAGGAAAGCCCAGCTCATGCTGAAGGAGATAGGAGAGGCTCTTGTGGAAAGACAGAACATCTACTGCAGTCCAATTCTTCCCCGCAGTGCACGGCTACAGCTGGAAAAGAACTTATTGATGCGTGCTTCCATGGACTCAGTGGCTACTGACCTAGGGATGGCAGCTGGCTTAACCGACATATTTAAGCATGATAAGCATTGTGGGGATGTCTGGAACACCAACAAACGCCAAAATGGGAGGCTCATGTGGTTGTATCTCAAGTACTGGGGACTCGTCGTCGAGCTGAGAAAGTTCAAGCGAGTAGAGCAGGTCATACTAGAAAAGTAAGAACAATCATTCGTCATGGCCTGGTGCATTCTTGGATCTCAGATGTCATGTCTTTCTCTGCCACCCATATGTGATCATATATAGCCCTCTCCAGGGCATCTACTCCTGTTCCTGAGCAGTGCAGTAAGACCTTGGCAGGCAGGGGTCCTCTGTTGTGCTGCAGCAGTGAAGGATTCAGCTGCTTTGAAGCATTTTGAGCTGCTAATATTTAGCAGAACAGTGTTGTATCATATTTTAACTCTAGGGTAAACAATGTTTTTCAAAGATGAAATACAGTGTTGATCCTCACCATAATTAATTTCATTGTTGGATTTTAATCAATTCTGCCTTTTAGGGTACTTTACTCCTTCCCTAGATTCCATTCAGAAGTGATGCCTTGCACTGACTTACCAATGGTAATAGTAATCTCACCAGGATTTTATCTTGTGTGGAAGAGCTCTCACCCACAGAAGAAAAAAAAAACAAAAACCAAACGTTCCTTGTGTCAAGTTGGTTAGGTGTGTGTTGAATTTATCTTGCCTATGTATTCCATAAACAAATAATTATTCATGAGCAATGACATATAATACTTGCCATTTAAAACTGAGAGCATCCGTTTTACTTGTGTGGCTCTTTGCTTTTTTTGTCTTTACAGAAGGCTTTTAAGTGTGTCATCTCAATTTTTACCACAATTTAAAAGGTAGGGCAGGCTCTGAGAACGGGTTTGTACCTAGCTAACATACATTAAGCTATTGTGTACATCCTTTGTGTAATTCTTACTCTGATCCTATGAGCTAAGTACTGTTGTTATCCTCTGGGAGAGGGTTTCTTACCCACTCCGGGTTCCGTGGCCTGCTGGGGTGTCAGTATTCAGTATATGGTATTTCTGAAGTCTGATGATCTGTGACAGTGAGAGACAGAATCAGCAGAACAAGCGGGAGGGAATCGGCATAGACCAGAGACACCCAGCCTTGAGCCTCCACAGGTCCCAGTGGAGTCACATGGAACATGCTTCACTCCTTCAGGAACTGGCTGTGACAGCACAGAGGGCAGGTTTCTCATGTGTGCACAACTCGGTTCAGTGAGCCACAACTACTAGTTAATAGAGCTAGGAGCTTGCCCAGAACCCTGGGAGCAATTTTAAGACATCTTTGGATGACCTACTTTCCCTCCCTCCATTAATGCTGGCCATCTGGTTTGTTTTGTTTTGAGACAGTTGAGGTTTTCTCACTCAACATGTGGAACTATATATAGTGGAAAGTTGGAGGCAGCAGCTCAGTTGGAGGCTTTTTTTTTTTTTTTTTTTTTTTTGCAGTCATGGGGCTTGAACTCTGCACCTGGGCACTGTCCCCACACTCCAGCTCAAGGCAAGCGCTTTACCACTGGAGCCACATCATCACTTCCGGTTTTTTAGTGGTTTATTGGAGATAAGAGTCTCACGGACTTTTCTGCTTCCCTGGCTGGCTTTGAACCGTGATCCTCAGATCTCAACCTCCTGAGTAGCTAGGATTACAGGTGTAAGCCACTGGCACCTGGCTCAGTTGGAGTTTATGTCTATAATAGATCACTACACACCTAGGTCTCACACACACACCAGTATTTGCACACACAGATATGGATACATATAATTACTTGTCTTGCTTCCAATAAAATACCATCATATGTTTTCTAGGCTTTCTAGTTTTGCAAAGCATATGCATTTCCAGTTTATAAACTGGGTTGGGTTTGGGGATGAGATTGGGGCTGAAGACATCCAATAATAGTAGGTCATCATTAAATTCCCAGAATTCCAGGCTTTTTGTCCAAAGTCACATGACTGAGCTTGTGTTAGGGCAACCATTCAAACTAGCAATCTGTGAGAGCCCGAAAATCCAAGTTGTAAGACCCCGCAGGGATTGGAAGTTCAGAATGCCTTCTCCCAACATACTCTGAACACAGAGTTTCCTGGAAAGGTCAATCCGTTCTATCCCGCATGTGGGCTAACTCCACTGTAAACTGTGTGACCCTGGGGTAGACTACGGTTTGCAAATTGTGAGCTGTTTACTGTTCAGCAATCTCTCAGAGTAAGGAGGCCATCTACCATTTGTATTCAAAATACTGTCACATGCCTCCCTATACAAGACCAATAAAAACCTTGGAGAATGAAACATTGGTCTGAAGCTGCTTGTACAGGCTGGTCTTCCTCACGGCCTTGCTCCTGGGGGTGGCGGGTTGCAATAAATGTGCTCCTCCTCCTGGTAGTGGGGGCTTTTTTTTTTTTAAGAAGACAAAGATTTGTTATCTAAACAAAAAAATATATCTGATTGAAATGTGTAACTGACTTTTCCTATTGGGTTATTTAAAAAGCTTGATTGCTTAGTAGTTTACTAAGATGATCTCTGTAAGAGTCCTTCATGGCTATCCCTGGAGACCACACAGAGGCAGGCAGGCAGGCAAAAGGTTTATTAGAGGAACCATTATCTCCCTAGGAGAGTGAGCATGTGGCATCTGCCCTTATCGAGAGGGCAGGTAGGTCAGGGACGAAGTGAGGTTAGGCGTGCACAGGTGGGTCCGGGTGGAGAGAGGGAGTGGCCAGCTTTTGGAGGGAACTCTAGGGTAGGAAGGAGCTCAGATCTAGGTGGAAGAGGACCAAAAGTGGGGATAATATAACAATTTCTTTAAAGCAAGGTGAGCACTTTCTAGCTGCTTCCACTGTCTTAGTTTGTGTTAGGGAAATGAGCTCCCTTCCCATAGCTTAGCACACTCCTTCCCTTCTCTACAGCTTAGCAGGCTCCCTTCCTAGGCAGCCCTTGGCCTACCCACATAGTAAAGGCGGTAAATAATCAACCTCCAACCCCCTGACCTTGAGATGTCACTCCTCTGGGGCAGCTGCCACCATAGAAGGCAACAAGAGTCCCTGAGGGTGAGCTTCAGGTCTGGGCAGCTGCAGGACCCTTATCTGCTATTTGGACAGAGCCATCCATCCTAGTCCACCATGATGAAGCCCCTGGCCCGCACGTCCACACCGGGGTCTCCTCTGCCTCCTAGTTCCTCCTAGACCTCCTAGCTTATATAGGTCACCCCAGACAATAGCCGGGTGCTTCTTCTCACTCCTGCCTCGTGAGAAGGGGTCTGGCCGGCCCCTTTCCTGGCAATAAACCTTTCTTTGTTCTCTGTACCCAGATGTCTGTGTGGTTGTCTGGCAAAGCCTAATGAATCTTGTTTAAGCTAAGAGCTTGAATACATGGAAGGAAATCTCTAGTGAACACCTGAACTCACCTGTAGATAGGTAGCTGCCTTTTTTCTATTGTTAACAGCATACCATCTTTTCTAAGGATATCACTGCCATGCAAACAGCTGGACTTCCTTAACCTTTACCCCATGAGTGCTCTGCATGGCAGAAGTGTCCCTTTCTTTATTCTGAGCTGGACAAAACACACTATATCTCTTGGTTGTAAGTAGCAGTGATCAAGGTGTCTTAGACACTAACGAGGGAAACTTAAGGCCATCTCAGGCAGCTCAATGGAGACATGGCCGTGAACACCCGTTGGCAACCTGGGAAAGATTGTCTCCTGTATCCACATACCTGTTCCAGCATTCTCACTGTTAGGAAAATGGAGGAAAACAGAAAATAGGCCGGACTGGATCATCGACAGGCATTGACTCTTCATTGCCAGCAAGGGGCACTGACAGACCTCTGTTATTATTGTGCTCACCTTTGGTCCTCAGCTCCAACCAGACCTGAGCTCCTCTCATTCCTGGAGTTCCCGCCATGCCATGCAGCCGGCCCCTCCTCTCTGCCCAGACCCATCTGAACTCCCATCTATCTACCTCACTTCCTATCCCCCAGACCCTCCTGCTACCTGGATGGTGACAGAGGCCCTGTGCTCCCTCTTGGGGGAAATACGGCTCTTCTAATAAGCCTTGTAATTATCTTTCTCCTGTGCCTGCCTGCCTCTGCGTGGTCCCCTGGGATGGATGTGTGGGATCCTTCAACCTCTTAGGTTTGGAGGTTGTAAGCTTAAAAAGATTAATTAGACTTTGCCAGAGAACCACACAGACATCCAGGTACAGAAAACAAAGAAAGGTTTATTGTCAGGAAAGGGGAACTGGCAAGATCCCTTCTCACAAGGCAGGAGTGAGAAGAAGCACTGGCTATTGTCTGGGGTGACCTATGTAACCTAGGAGGTCTAGGAGGGCTGGAAGGGGCCAGGAGGTGGAGACCCCGGTGTGGATGCGCGGGCCAGGGGCTTCATCATGGTGGACTAGGATGGATGGCTCTGTCCAAATAGCAGATAAGGGTCCTGCAGCTGCCCAGACCTGAAGCTCACTCTCAGGGGCTCTTGTTGCCTTCTATGGTGGCAGCTGCCCCAGAGGAGTGCCATCCCAAGGTCGGGGGGTGGAGGGGTTGGAGGTTGATTATTTACTGCCTTTACTATGTGGGCAGAGTGCTGCCTAGGAAGGGAGCGTGCCTGCCGAGCTGTGGAGAAGGCAAGGAGCGTGCTAACCGATGGGAAGGGAGCTCATTTCCCTGAAATTGTGCAAGGGACTGGATTTTGGAGTGGACTTATATAGAGTTTAGCAAGGAAGTGGAAAATAAAAAGTGGATTATGGTCTCTTGAGCCACAGGGCGATGTCCTTGGCCAGGCCCTCAGCGGAATATTCAACCTGGGATAGGGGCATTGTCCCCTGGGGGCCAAGGGTGGTCCCCTTGGCCAGGCCCTGACTGGAGCCTGCCTGGTGACAGGCATGCAGTCAAGCCTGTCCAGGGGCACCTGGTGTCTGGCTTGACCTCGGGAATACGGCAGCAGTCACCCCTTCACTCACTGTAACTTTTCTCAGGCCATGTGGCACAGCTTCTATCCTGTCACCTTTCCTGAAGCAGGATGTGGGGACTCTGGGTTATACAGTGCTGTAGCATTTGAGTAGAGTCAGAGCAATAAAAAGAATCCCCAGTATATGGCTTTTGTTAAGGTCACAGGAACCCTTGAAAAGAAAAGCTTTGATAGTCGTGACTCAGCTTTCTGCAAAAGCTGAAAAGTCCCTGGCATCTCTAAATGAGACATGGGCTCACTTGGCTGGCAGGTAAGAATGTTACCTCAGAGTAACAGAGTAGAGGCAGCTGCCATGCCTAGCCACCCCGAGACGTGAGCCTGAACATGAGCCCAAGTATCAGAGGAGCCCTTATGTCAGTTCCCTCAGGAATAAGCCCTCTCCTGGGAAACCTGCAGAGCAAGACCCAGGATCCCTTAGTGGGCCACCTAGTCCACACTGCTGCAAGTTGGAGGACATGAGGTCACAGAAAGCCGGCCAGCAAGAACATACCATGGTGGGGCACGCATACAATGCCACTTCACTGGAGACTGAAAACCTGTCTACTTGACGCTGGTCAGTGGCCAGCAGACACAGTGAGTGAGGCATCTAGGGTCTAGTGCCTGTTCCCAGAGCTAAGGCTGGCCCTGATTAGTAGTGCCAAAGGATGAGGCTTGGGAGTGGCAGAGGCTGGTGGTTGAGTGACTGAAACATCAAGACGGAATGACAACCACAGCACTTTCCCTAGGGCTACCCTGGGAGCCAGTAGATTTCAGATAGCGGTTTTGAGTAGCTGAGAGCAGAATAGAATGTTGCTCTTATCTTGTAAT